TGTGAACTCTTCCCTTATATATATAGGTGCAGGCCCGTCCAGTTTCCAAACCATTTCCATTTTCCACGATTCCACCCTTCCGCGGAAGAAGCGCCGTCGTGTAGATGCCGAAAGCCGGAAGGTCCAGTGACCAACTGTAGCATGTCGATTTTTCGCCGCTGCCCGTCACTTCGTGAGTTTTTTATTTTCTTAAAAAAAAAAAATTGGTGTTATTTTTTTTTTTTTTATGAGTTATGACTATCTTTATGGGCTAAAATCATGATTTATGTTGTATCGCGTATTTTTTTAGTATTTTGGGTTGTATTGAAATATATATATATTGAATAAAATTTAATATTATTTAATTAAATATTAATAAACGACCTCACTCTTACGATTGCTGATTGTCGACGGTCAATGATCAACGTCCACCCGAACTAAATTTTTCTGCTGGGTTGGCTTTGCTTTGTAATACGATCAAGTAAACGTTGTTCTCTCCTTTTTATTCAACGGCTTACAGTGTCATTACCAAGTAAGATCTTATTCTAGCATTTATGCATTTCGTTTTGTCTCTTAAAGGCACTTAGAAAACTTCAGTAATCAGATGGTGAAAGTGAAAGCTCATGATAAAGGTACTGTATCGTTGTGGGTCTCATTCAGTGCTATTTCTGTGCATCTTTCTTGTTTAATCGATTCTGAAACCTGGTTCAGCAATTGCCAGGGATCTCCTTCTGGACTGGTCCATATTCATCTATGATCTATCATTATTCAAAATTCTTTTTTTTTTTCTCAAATTTATTTTTAGCCATAATTTCTCTAAAAATTCACTATCTCAAAACTCATTTTCCTACTTTAACGATAGACAAACAGTAACTAGGTTTGGTTAGAGATGGGCACGGATTTCACCCAACTCGATAGGGGAAAATGGGGACAGAGAACATCGTCTCTGCCTTGACTTAATTATTTATGTAAATAATATTTTTAAAACTTTTTAATTTATATATTATATAAATATTTAAAAAAAAAATAAATTTAAACGGGAACACACAAGTTAAGGGAATGAAGATCTTCGCTACTGGGATTGGAAGGGGAATGGGGACAATGCATTAAAATTCAATTAATGTTATTCATAATTAATGATTGCAGTAGTTATTTTACGTTATATGAAGATTATTGTAGTTGTTGAGTATGAATAACATTATTTTTAAAATTTCTAAGAGTCGAGGATCGGTTTGAACTCGGATCACTACGCCCCTATTTTTATCCTAGTGTTTCGTCAGATTTCCTAATAAAGACAATTTAATAAATTGGATAATTTAAATTAAAATACAATATGACGTAGGTGAGATCAACCATAGACATAGTTGCGACCTCTATCGGACTATAGTCTATACCAATGGTCAATAGTCTATACCAATTTGTTTTCTTAGGTAAATAATGTTGAAGTATCCATTCCAGTAGGTTCAATTGAATAAACATCAGCTTTTTGGCTGCCAGTCCCAAAGATTACAACAAATCACATCACACCACATCTCTCTAGAAGCAATAAAATTCACAATAGTTTACCCCTCTTCCATCACAGCTACATCCTCACCGCACAATCACGAATACTCTTCAAAATCAGCCAATCGTACGATTGTGAAATCCCAACAGCGTCACCCCCACAAAGTCGTCAACCACGATTTTCAATTTTGGCAACTCGCTTTAGTTAATTGTACATTCACTGGACTTTTTGTAGTCCTGAAATAGTCGTACAACACCTGCACTCAAAGTGCTGTTGCAGTGGATCCTGCCTCCAACCTCTCTGCACGTTGGTGTAGATCTATTTTTTTAAATATATCGTCTTTCTCACCGGAATCTCAGTTTCCGATCATCCGTTTCTTCGTACACTCTTTAGGTTACGGGTTTTTTTATTTTTGATTATATAATTTGAAGGAATAGAATTCCTCGCTTTCTCCGCCTATATATAATACGTGATTGAGCTTAGGGTTATGAACAAGGAAATACAATAAAATGAAGTAATCAATTTTTGATTGCATCAATCATTTTTTTAAAATCGTTTTGTTCACATGCAATAAATACAGATTTGTATGGATATATAGTTATGTTCAAATGTCGATGTTGAGGCGTAGAAAGGGCTCGGCAGCGAAGAAATCTCAAAATTCAGAGCCTCAATTGGATGAAAACAAGGAGAAAAATAACAATCAATTGCAAGAAAAATCGAATTTAAATGCTGCAAATTTGAAAGGAAATGTGAACTGTAATTCGAAATCGAATTCAGATGAGAAATTAAGGAAAAAATGGAATTGTGTGGACAACTGTTGTTGGTTCGTAGGATGCATATGCTCGATGTGGTGGTTTCTGCTGTTTCTGTACAACGCAATGCCGGCTTCGTTCCCGCAGTATGTCACGGAGGCGATCACGGGACCTATGCCTGACCCACCGGGGGTGAAATTAGCTAAAGAAGGGCTCACAGCGAAGCATCCGGTGGTTTTCGTTCCCGGGATAGTGACTGGAGGGCTTGAGTTGTGGGAAGGGCACTCCTGTGCTGAAGGGTTGTTTAGAAAGCGGCTATGGGGCGGTTCCTTTGGTGAAATATACAAAAGGTATCAAATTAAAATCTTTTTTTTTTAATTGTCATGTGCATATGAATACGGATGTGCGTGTATTTGGAGAATCTTTATGTTATTGAGTACTGAGTTAAGTAATGCGACTATCTTGAATTTGGTAAATGGTGTAATTGGGCTTCTGATAGGGTAGCTCTTCTCATGATCGTGAGAGTTCAAGAACTTGTAAGAATTCTGTTCTGCATGTCGAAGGTGCAGATTTTATTCCACGTTAAAAGCTTGAATCTTTTAAAGATGGTAGAGTTTGAAAATTTTGTTATATAGTTATTAGAGATAAAGAGGCTATATCTCCCAAATAATGGTGGGTAGGTGTTTAATGGTCCTGAAAAAAGTTTTAATGTTGATGATTACCAGCTTTTCCAATTGCTACTGAAAACTATGAGTCCAATATTCACAGCATTGATGAATTCGTTCAAACTTTCACAGCGTGTGCGGTTCACTTTTTTTCTTTACATAGTGAATTCCATGGACCGGGACCACCAAGAGTTAATGGCTCAGGAGTCTGGACCTTAATAATGGTTGTCAGTATTTAGAAATGCTGACTATCAGAGATGAGTTGAAGTGAACAAAATAAAATAAAATAAAAGTTTGTCTTTTGGATCACGAAGTACCCGAATAAAACGACGGATAAGATGTATCTATTTGAGTAAAATTATTTCATTTCAGATACTCTAGATATCTGTATTGTAATTTGAGAATTTATCACGTTTATAAGCTCTTGCTTAAGCTTTGTGAGTGTCCATCATATGGCAGAAGCTCACAAAGTGATTATGAAACATTATTAACGGTGAAAACTTTCCCCTTTCTGATGAAATAGATAAACTAATGGGTAGGGCACCAAATAATATTTCAATGTTCCGGCGTTGCTACTCAAGTTAGAACCTCAATAACCATTACAACTTTGTTCCAGGGCATTTCCTCCTGCTTGTTCCAATATTTACGTACTATCAATTATTCATTTTCAAATTTACACCTTGTAATTACTTGTGTAGAAAAACTGTTTTAGTAGCTCTACAGTGAGTATGTTACAACTTGTATTACATAAAATTTATAATTTATGTTCCCTTGTCCATGAAATGTATATCTAAGATGATTGGAGGTTTCTTTCTTCAATTTGACTTATTTTGCATAAATAGTTTCAAATATACTGTTTCTTCTCATTCACGTGAATCATTTATGCAGACCCTTGTGCTGGGTTGAGCACATGTCTCTGGATAATGAAACTGGATTGGATCCACCAGGCATAAAGATCAGGCCTGTATCTGGACTTGTAGCTGCGGATTACTTCGCACCGGGTTATTTTGTTTGGGCAGTATTAATTGCCAACTTGGCTCGCATTGGATATGAGGAGAAAAATATGTATATGGCTGCCTATGATTGGAGAATCTCATTCCAGAATACTGAGGTATGCCATTTGTTACCCTGGACGCACTTTAGTCTGTATAATGCAACAGTAAACATGAGAATCTGAATAACCCAATATAAATGCAAGCTGGCATGTGAAATTGTCTATGTCAACAGATTAGTGGTCTGCAATACAAATATTTTATAACTATGGGTATTTTGCTGGAGCCTCTTTCATTGTGCTTAAATTGAGATGATTCTTTTGCAAAACTATCAGGTTCGAGACCAAACTCTGAGCAGAATAAAAAGTAACATAGAGCTCATGGTAGCTACAAGTGGTGGTAAAAAGGTGGTGGTTGTGCCACATTCAATGGGTGTTCTGTATTTCTTGCACTTTATGAAATGGGTGGAGGCACCGACACCAATGGGTGGTGGGGGTGGATCAAATTGGTGTGCTGACCATATAAAGGCTGTAATGAATATAGGTGGACCTTTTCTGGGTGTTCCGAAGATAGTCTCGGGATTGTTCTCCGCTGAAGCCAAGGATATAGCGGTTGCCAGGTTTTGCTTCTAACTTTAGTGCTTGATTGGTAATAGATTATCGTACCAGAATTTATCTCTGTTTCACTGTGTGAAAGTTTTGTATATTATATTAGATTTATCTTGTCGACAAATCATTTAACTTCATCAATTTCCTCAAACATGCTTCCTGTTGCACTCCAGCTTTGATTATAAATTGTATTGTGCCCTCTTGTTGCACATAACTTGTTTGGGTGTGTGTAGCATTTATCTAATTGGTTCCTGGAAAGACAGGATTATTAATTATCAAATTCTAATTTCTCTTTTGTGATTGTGTTTTTCAAAATTAGAGTTGAATATTTTGTTCCATTAATATTATGGGTTACCATATTTGTTTCTAGAAGAGCTTGAGTGAATCTTTTCTTAGTGAACTTATCTTCAAGCTGACCTTAAAGTATAAATTTCTCCTTGTGCAGGGCTATTGCACCAGGTGTTTTGGATATGGATGTTTTTGGTTTTCAGACTTTACAACATGCAATGAGAATGACTCGGTCATGGGATTCGACAATGTCAATGATACCAAAGGGTGGGGACACTGTCTGGGGTGGCCTCGATTGGTCCCCAGAAGAAGGTCACGAGTGTAATGCAAAGAAGCCAAGGAACAATATTATGCAGACAGCAGGACCTAATGGGACAGTTAATTCGGCTTCTGCAACTCTCGTTAAATATGGAAGAATGCTAGCATTTGGGAAGGATGTAGCTGACTTACATTCTTCAGAGATTGAGAGGGTTGATTTTAGGGTAATGTTTCAACTACCATCTCCTAATTCTCTGAGAGAAGCTGTTTACCTTCAACTGAAAAGCAGTCCATCCACATGATCTATTTCATCAATTATTCTGCATGAAACTTTGATGTATGATGCTCTGATACTTTAGAAGTTATTTTCAAGTTTTATTAGTCATACTTTACACCAATACCCCCCTTCAACCTGAGCATCAGACAACTTATAGCTATACTTTCTTTGTGTAGTCAGTTTATACCTCAGTATATTATTTACTTTTTATCCTAAATAAATAGGACAAATCCTTGTTCGTCTGTTAAAGGACAGTGTGTTGAGCTGTTTAAAACAAATTGTTGGTAAGATGAATGTAGTGGAAATGAGCTAAGATGGATGTATGGCCATATTAAAATGGATAAGTTGAGATATAATAATATGCGCTCACAAGAGGAAGTGGTAGCGATTCAGAATAAATTAAGGGAATGATGACTTGACTCCAGTTGTTATGAATGTTCCACTACATCTTGCAATGAATTTGAAGGAAGTGGTGGAAAAGGGTTCATTTAAGCCACCAAATTTATTGGGAACAAGGCTTAGTTTGTTATTGTTGTATCCTAAATAAAGAGGGATTTTCTTTAAAAATAAAAAACAGATGTATTTAACTAAATTGAAGTTTTGTCAGTAGTGATTTAGGTAAATACAAAATTGTTGGAGGAGATTTACTCCATGAAAATATTGTAATGGAGACCAAAGAACAACCTATAAAACAAAAATGACCTTCCATCTTTTGGTCTAATAAACCATAAATGGCCCTCCATCCATTCTATGAACCTCCAAGAAAGTGCTCTATAAAGAACCTAGGACTCGGGCCACTAGGAAGCCAAATGAACAGATGGGTGTCAAGCTTATCTTTATGCTTTTCCATGAAATGTTGGTTAGATGTGATATTCTATTATTCAGTTATGGCAAAATTCTGTGTTTCATTTTGCTTGCATGACTTCACCAATATCAACATAAAACAACTCGTAAAGTTAACCCTGCAATCTTGGTGAGTATTAATAAACTTTTGACTGCTGTAAGAAGACTCAGTTCGTGTAATGAGGTTGGAGTGGAACATGATGCCGTTCTTTCATTTTTGTATTAGTTCATAAATCAAAATCTTTAAATAGTTCCAGTAAATACCTCAAATGTTGTCACTAGTGATTCATGTTGAGGATTGGGTTTTGGATGTTTAAATATTTGGGCCATGGTTGGAGGGTATGCTTTAATTACACTTTTTAGTGCGGATTAAAAACCATGGTAATGATTCTATTATAGTTAATCTTTTCTGTATGTTTTCTTCTGCTGATATCACAATAGGGAGTAGCTGGATTCAGTGTTCACAAAATCTGTTAGCATTATTATATGGTCCTAATTGACCCGTCAGTAGAAATTATCCGTTTCTAAGGGAAATTGTTAGTAGCATGATTTTGCTCTCTCTTTTTGTCGGTAAAAATTATGTATTTCTAAGTGAAATTGTTGGTAGCATGATCTATTTGCAGTCTTCTCTTTTGGGTTGCAGTTCTTAAATAAGAAATTCTTTCGACCTATTATCCCAAGTATCATAATGCATCTGGAATTATTATCAGCCAAATTTTATACTGAAACTGGGTAGCGGGGAGAGACCTTCTACCATACTACTGTTTGTTCCTTGCTATCATCCAGAATGAAGGTTCAGCATTGCTTATTCAATATGGAATCAAATATAGGCTGTGTAATTTTCTCGTCTTTTTCTTCTTTTTTTTTCCTGACAGAATGTCTGTAAACCAGTTTTGGTGTCTACATTCAAGAATTTCTAGAAAATTCATGCTTCAGCTTCTTCATTTAGTTTATTTGGGTGACCTATAGGGAGTTATCAAGGGAAATAATCTTGCAAACACAACCTGCCGCGATGTATGGACAGAGTACCAGGATATGGGTATTGGGAGTGTCAAAGCAGTTGCAGATTATAAAGTTTACACTGCTAGTTCGATTTTGGATCTACTTCACTTCGTTGCCCCAAAGATGATGAAGCGAGGTGATGCTCATTTTTCACATGGGATTGCTGATGATCTGGATGATAAAAAATATGAACATTACAAATATTGGTCAAATGCCTTGGAAACAAAGTAAGTTTCTATCCTGTAAATCAAAGTTCTCCCTGATACTCTTCTTTCATCCCTTCTCCTAACATATCTTCGTTTTCAACTGTTCAATTTCTTTCAATGAATTACCTTCGTACAGTAGTTGATGTTTCTTTGAAAGATAAAAGAATGCACCATTTGGTGATATTGATATAAATTTGATATAAAAAACAGATCATTTTTTTTTTAATTAGCTAGATGGTCTAAATGATAGGAAACATCTATATTTTTTCCCTCTCTCACTTCATCTCCCTTTCTTGTCAGGGCATGAGTAAACACTTGCACATGGTTTTGGTGGTTTGTCTACATCTAAATTTGCTCTCTATATGCCTTCCAATGTTTTTGCTTTCTCAGTATCTGCTTTTTCCCTTCCTCCACATCAATCAGTTGTTTGTTATAGATATCCCTGCATTATCTTTCTCCTTCTACAGGAACATATATCGTATTGGAGATTTTTCTTGGCAATGTTTTATATTCTGCTTTCCTTTCTCAGATTACCAATGGCACCAGACATGGAAATGTTTTCAATGTATGGAGTTGGAATCCCCACTGAAAGAGCATATGTCTACAAGTTTAGTCCTGCAGCTGAGTGTTATATACCTTTTAAGATTGATACTGCAGCTGATGGTGGAGATGATGGCCCTTGTTTGAAAGGCGGAGTATATTCTGTAGATGGAGATGAAACAGTCCCTGTTCTTAGTGCAGGTTTTATGTGTGCAAAAGGTTGGCGGGGAAAGACTCGATTCAATCCTTCAGGAATGCGTACTTACATAAGGGAGTATAATCATGCTTCTCCTGCTACTCTTTTAGAGGGCAGGGGAACCCAAAGTGGTGCTCACGTAGATATAATGGGGAACTTTGCCCTGATTGAAGATATCATTAGAGTAGCTGCAGGAGCAACGGGAGAGGATTTAGGAGGAGATCAAGTCCGTTCTGATATTTTCAAATGGTCGGAAAGGATTAAGTTAAAGCTCTAAATTTATTTGGTAAGTTTCACTTTTCACTGCCTTTGTTGACAGCCTACTTGTTATGCATTTTTATGTTGAATCGTTAACTAATTTCGGTAGACATTATCATCCCTCGGATTGTTAGGCTACTGAATGTTTGTTGTATGCATGCATTTGAAAAGTAAACATAAAAAACCATAATTGGCTGATCTTAAAAACTTAAAAGTAAATAATTTTCTTTTAAGAGCATAATTTTGTTTATTTGTCAAAGTTAGTTGGAAATAAGTTACTTAGAGCTTGTTTGGGAGAGATTTTTGGGGGAAGAATTGATTTTGAATAGTGATATGATGAGAAATGTGTGGTTGAAAAAGAAGAAAAAATTATTGATGTGATGGAAAATATTATTTTATTGAAGAATGTGTGGTTGAAAATGAGAATTGATTTACTGTAGAAAAATCTAATCTCTCCCAAACAGAGCCTTATTTTGATAGTATATAAGACATACTTTCAATTCTTCACTTAAAAAGTAAGAAAAGAAAAGTAGGTTATCCAAGCATATTTGAAAGCAAACTTTTACCCTTTTAAGCTTAGCCAAACACGCTCTTTCTGTTTCTACATAAAGGGTTAAAAGAATTGTTAGTCTCGTTCCAACTTATGGCCTTGTTATACTTTGGTCACTGATCATTTTATGTTCCAATTTTGTCAACTTATGCCTATAAACCGCATCTCTGGCCTTAAGCTACATTTTCAACATTCCATGTCTCTCTGTACAATTATTTATGTACTCAGCACGTAGTCGATTCTTCAACTCTTTAGATTGAGCATTTGTTTGTTTGTGTTTGATGATACACATGCCCTTGGAGGTAGCTGTATAAAACATTTGTTTATGTTAATCCAGATTCCATCCTTGACGATGAACTCAGAGCTGCTTTAGATCTTGATGATATGCCATTGATTCATGTGGTTTGATTAAATTATGTCAAGCCATATTCCCCAAAGAAAATCAGTCTGATAACTTGTAGCAGGCAGTTAACAATGCATCAAGTTTCTGCTGTAATTGAGCGTGTACGGTTGCAAGGGGAAAGCATAGATAAGGGCACCACATTGCTGCACTTTTTTCTTTTTTTCTTTTTTTTTTTTTTTGTTGGTGCTTTCTTATTATAATACCAGGAGCAGGCAAGGAATTCCATTAATAGCTGATTGTTTGTAATGACTTGAATTTAGTAGAATGCTTCTGGACATCCAGTTTTCGATTTCCTGTTAATATCAAAATATGATATTTACTCAATTTTATAGCAGCAGAAATTTTTATCATCATTGGCATGATTGCATGACTAGAAGAAAAAGGGAAAAATGTGGTAGACAATATTCTAGAAGTTTGTCTCATACATATGAAAGAAAATAAAATAAACACATTTTTCCTGCATCCATAAACCATCCTTTATAAATTTATACAAGAAAAAATATAAAATAACATTCAATTGAATCAAGAGAGCCACCTGTGTTCGATTTACAACCAATTCCAATAGTTTGAACCCAGTTTTGTCACATTGTCCATTACAATATCCCATATATGACAATCTAATTAATGCAAAATACAGTCTAACAGACAAACAGTACAGTCCTAGCGCAATCTGATGGTTTCATTGGGGAAGATAACGTTCGGATTTCGAATATGAGGATTAAGGGCAGCGAGTTCTTTCCATTTAGCCCCAGTTCCATGAACACGAGACGAGATGCTCCATAAGGTTTCGCCAGGATTCACTGTAGTTGTCACTGGGGAAGAAGAAGCTGGCGCAGAAGATTTCGCGACAGCCTTTGACTTCATCAAGGGATGCTTATTCTTCTTCCCCATTCCATTTGCGAGTAACCAGCGGGACCCAGACTGTTGATTAGACGAACCCCATAACTTCTTTTTCCCCGGCTCAGTCTTCAGACCTGCAACATGCACCTCAGTGACTTTGTATTGAGGAATGAGTTCTTCTTCAAGGATTTTGTCTTCTTTTGGCTCGTCAGTTATGTCTTCCTTTTTAGCAGCCTTGTGCCCTCCTTCTTCATCATCATTGCAGTTTCTTAATTTAGGAACTGTGCTGTAGATTTTAGGTTTTGGTGCAACAAACACTCTCTCGACTTGAATAAGAGCTAGCATTGGGGTACCAACTGGCTCATAGTTCCTTAAAGGATCACGCAATTGTACCATTAGTGCGACAGTGAAATTGTTACCCAACAAACCACACTTTCTACTCTTTCCCCGTCTCTTCTCCCCCTTAGATCTTCCGCGAAACAATTCTAAGGAGGTAGCATGATGGGCTGCCAGTATTTTAGAAGTTCGCTCACTGATGAGATCTTCATCATCGATTTCACCAGAATCCAGCTTCATCCATTCATCAAGTGTTAGAGACAAACCCATCAATCCATCGATATCTTCACCATTGTCTTTAACGTCTAGAAGTTGCAGTCCACCAGTGCCATCGAGACCTATGGAGCCACTGATATCGACTGTATTTCCCTTGAGGGCTGAAAATTCACCGATGTTTTGAGGGCTGATGTTTGAAGGTGCATCCTCGTCTGACATGCCAGATTGTATTCTCAAACCCTCAATTGAAAGGGCTTCAATTTTATCCATAGCTAAAGGAGCAAGATCTTCTAACGATACATATTCAGCATCACTACCAAGTGAATTTGATTCGAACTTACTTGACCTGGCACAAAAGGTTGTTTCTTTTACTGTCTTTGGCTCACCAGACACGTTTTGCATAATTTCATATTCATGCTGCAAGAAACCTTGCCTGCGACAGGGATGAAATATGAATAAAACTATCAATCACACAGAAATGCTAAAACAAAGATGAATAAAAACGTGGATTGGCGACAATGTTAAAACATTAACAACGAACCTCTCGGGTCCCTCAAGACTGGGTGCAGCTTCCCATGCTATTTGTTGCATTGTTTTCCCAGTTATATCTTCCAGGGGCATCAACCTATTTGCCTGCATTGAGAGCTTTTCAATGCCGACAGAGGCCAGACCCTGAAGTATGTCCATTATACTAGAACCCATCTCAGCAGGCACCACCACTGGACTTGATGCCTGCATAATTAAGCTCCCACTGTTTTTTGCGTTCTTGAAAAGCACAGGATTCATTGAGCGCAAAAACCCTCCTTTTTTTGTCTGAACAAAAGGACCCAAACCTTCTGCAAGAGGAGGCAGCTGCTGAGGATTCTGGTGAAGTACATCAATTGGACTCCCAAACCCACCTGAGCTGCTAGGTGGCGAATGTTGAAAAGCCCTCTCATTTAAGCCCCACTCACGCATTAAAGATTCAGTCTCCAAGTCCTCCAACATTGAGGCCCTTATTTTAGTCCTCATTGCCTCAGTTTCTATCTTAGGCCTCTCGTCATAGTCCTGTGCCACTACTGAGTTATGAAAGTCATCGGAGATGGTTTCCCACCCAGTAGCTGTTGGAGCATCAGTAACAAATTCTACATTTTCGTTTTTGACATCAAAGTCCAAAAAGGAACTCCTACTGGCAAGACAATCCTTCTCAAATTGCCTCAATAAGCGCTCTCTAGGGGACTCGGTCTCACTTTCTGAACTCAAGCCAAATGGACTGTGATCTATCCCCAACATGTCCAAGAATTCATTAGCAACAGATTCAGTAATATCCTCCAAGCTCTGGGATCTCCCTTTCCCAAGATTCCTGTATTTCGACTTAGTCTCTGAATAAGTTTCTTTGTCTGAAATATCACATTCATCTTGTGATTCTAATCCTTCTTTCATCAAATCTGAGGTGCAAGTCAATGCCAACTCCAGTTCTTTCATTAGTGATTCTTTAGTGCACTCTTTCTCAAGACTCTTTCCTACAGAATCTTGAACAGCCTTCAACCTAACGTCTTCTGATTCTACTTTTTCCTTTGTGAACTCTTCTATCCCTTGTTCTATGATAGAATATTCACCAATTTCGCATTCAGTTTCAGGGCAACCTTTTTCAGCATTAGGTGGTTTAGATAAATCTAATTTAAGAGGCTCAGCAGATTCAGAAGAAGGAAGAGTCTCAGGCTTATTATTAACTGAAGCATTTGACATCTCTTCATCAAGTTTCTGATATAGTATATTCACCGAATCAGACAGTTCTGACCTTGATATGGACAACACCTCATGAAGATCCTTTATATCTTCAGTAGACAGATTTGAGGTAGAAGACCTTGTAGGAAGGCTTCCTGTTTGCCGAATACTTAGTTCATTCATTTGATCAAATTGTCTGAGGAGTTTCGTTGCACTTGACCTATTCCGCAGCAAGCCCTGAGGGGCGGAAACATAGTTGTTGCTAGAATCGGTGCTGTTGTTCCCAATTACTGCGTAACCAAAACTAACATTAATAGTCCCACCTCTAGCTTTACCTGACAACCTGAAACTAGTTGTCCATTTCCCTGAGCTCTTCTCCTCCTCCAGTTCCTCTAACGTTAGAGGAAGCAACCTTGTTAAATCAACCCGATGCTTACCTAAATCGAGCTCGGGAGCATTATATACAGAGGCATACAATAAGAAATGCTTTGCCTCATACTTTGCTGAATGATGGGGACCACTCCTACTACCATAGACAGAGCACGAATGAGATAACTGTTCCTCAAACTCAACTGTTCCTCCACGAACCCTAACTGGGCGTGTCACTAACCCACCATCCCGCCTCTTCCAATGCACAATAAGACTGACATCATCAAAAAATGACGGCAACCCTTCTATGTAATGGACTTGAACGGAAAAACGACAATTAAACCTGCGGTTTCTGACATGGGTCAAGGCCTTTATACCCTTCCAACTCCAAATGGACTTCTTATCCTTGTCAAATGAATCTTTAGAGTTTTTGCTAGCATCTTTCAGCTTTGTTTTGGGTTCAGGCAAATGTGATTTTCCCACAGATTTCGATCTACTACTAACAGTAGAAATTGTGACCCTGGGCTGTGTTTTATCCGAATGTAGGGCTTTACTTATAGATTCAAGTTCATTCAAAAACTTCAAAGTGCCTGCATTCTCACCCGTTTTCTTCCTATTATGTGCTTTTGACATTATCTCCACGCGAGCTACAAAATTACACACAAGATCTTTCCAAAATTAAACCCTGTCCAAAATCATATCTAGCATAACTAACAAAAGCCATCTCCAAAATCCAAAAATATTCAATAACCCCCAAATTTCCCATCGAAAGTAAATCATTTTATAGAGTTATTAGCAAAAGGAAAGCAAGAATATTACTTATAAAACGTTTAGCGGGGTTTAGCTCTATATATTTATGTGCCAGCTCGAAACGAAAGCAAAAAACAAGATTAATTCAAAGGTTTTACAGTCCCTGCATCAACAGATGAATTAAATAGGGTACGGACTAATCGTAACTCTTTGTATTCATAAATTGACCAGATATTAATTGGAAAAATTCTAAGAACAGAAAATTGACGAACAAGAGAAGATAAGAGAGAACGACGATCTTACAAGTAGAGTAAACGATAACTCGGCCGATGCTTCCGGTCTTTGATTTCTCTATCTAAAGAATATGATCTCTCTCTTGGCTTGACCATGTTTATTTCATAGTTAAACTGAAGATACACGAAACATGCAGAGTAATCTTTCACTCGTGCCCCTGCAGTTCACAAGATTTTCACTATGCCCATAATATTCGTATATTTATCATCTTGATCCATAACACTTCATGTGAATGCGCGATGAAACTATTTTTAGTTTCACTATACATTTAGGGGTTGTTTGAGCACAATTTTTTTTTTAAAAAAAATGCATTTTTCAATAATGTTATGACAGAAAATGTGCAGTTAACAATAAGAAAAAGCTTTGAATTTGTGTATAATACTCTTTTCTCGAAAAATGTATGATTAAAAAATGGTGTCAAATCACTGTAAAAAATGAATTTTGATAAAGGAGCTCAAACAATGACTTAAAGAGAAGCACTACATGTACATGCTATTTTTACATACTGGTTTTATTGAATTTTAGACAAAAAATAAAGTTAAATCAGTCAATCAATTTTTTTCATCTCAACACCTGTAAATTCATTTGTACAAGAAATCTGTATAAATAGCATTTTTGACATTTACAGCTTGTTTGGTAGGGATTTTTTGGGAGAAGAATTGATTTTGAATAGTGATATGATGAGAAATGTGTGGTTGAAAAAGAAGAAAAAATTATTGATATGATTGAAAATATTATTTTATTGAAAAATGTGTGGTTGAAAATGAGAATTGATTTACTGTAAAAAAATGAGAATACCTCCCAAACAGGGCTTAGGCCCCGTTTGACACCCGTTATTTTGAAGCATGAGTTTTTGAATAGTGATTGATGTAAAGAATGTGTGGTTAAAAAGTATGAAGAATTTTTGGGTTTATGTGTAATATTATTTTATTTGAAGAATGTGTGGTTAGAAATGAGTACTGTAAAAAAATGAGAATGAGAATGAGATAAAAAAATGGGTGTCAAACAGGGGCTTAAATCACTGGTTTTCATTTCTTAGAATAATGTGATCGTATATATATTTTGAATTTTTAACATTGCCTTGTTTTCTTTATATATTATTTTCATCCATGTCAATATCTATTT